TCAGAGCCTGGTTCCTTCGTCTGAACTGGGCGTGGAATCTGTGAAGTACGATTGAGCTGGTCCTGAGCTCGAATCGATTCTGTAAGCTGCGATTCCTCTGTGGTCGAGTCTAATATGGCTGGATCTGGAGGTGGTGAGCTGAGAGCTCCGATCTTCAATGGTGAGAACTATGAGTTCTGGAGCATACGGATGAAAACCATCTTCAAGTCTCATGGGCTTTGGGAATTCGTTGAGAAAGGGGTAGAGATCTCAGATTCGAAGGGAGCTGCTGGATCTGATGAGAAGAAGAAAGACAAGGAGGACTCAAGTGATGCTGTGAAGATATCTTTCACAGAGGCATTTATGAAAGATGCTAAGGCTCTGGGTCTGATCCAAGGAGCAGTTTCTGAGGAAATTTTTCCTAGGATTGCTCATGAAGAAACCTCGAAGGGAGCCTGGAATCTCTTGATGCGAGAATTTCATGGAGATAAACAGGTGAGAGGTGTAAAATTACAAAGTTTACGAAGAGATTTTGAATATACTAGGATGAGAGATGATGAATCTTTGTCTGCTTACCTTGCAAAACTATTTGATCTTATAAACCAAATGAGAAGTTATGGAGAAGATTTATCTAAGGGAAGAGTAGTGCAGAAATTGTTGATTAGCTTGCCTGCTATGTATGATCCTATATGTTCTGTTATTGAGCACTCGAGGGATATAGATACAATTGAAGTTCAAGAGGTTGTTGCCTCATTGAAAGGTTTTGCACAGAGATTGGAGAGACACACTGAGCCTAAAACTGAGAAAGCATTTGCTAGTCTCAGTGTGAATTCTAAAACTGATAAATCTACAGGAAAACAAAGTGGTAAAGATCAAAAGAGTTGGAAGCCAAGAGACAAGAAGTGGGAAAATAAATCCACTGATGGTGCTAAGAATCCATGTAAGCATTGTGGAAAACTGCATTATGGAGAATGTAGATTTAAAGGAAAACCAAAGTGTTACAACTGTGACAAGTTGGGACATATTGCAAAAGACTGCTACAGCAAGAAACCTGCACAGCAACAGCTGAACTATGCAACTCAAGCTCCTACTGCACCAACTATGTTTTTTGTCAACAATGCATCTGATAAAAGGCCTATGGAAGATGTGTGGTACTTGGACAGTGGCTGTAGTAACCACATGACTGGCAGGGAGGATGTTTTGGTTGACATTGATAAAAGCATAACAGCAAAGGTTGCAATGGGAACAGGACA